ACCCCGCCTCCCCCCCCCCCCCCCCCCCCCCCCCCCCCGGTGGGCGGCTGCTTTGGGGGTGGGGTGCTCGTCTGATGTTAGGGGAGAAGTGTGCTGGAAGGCCGGGCCTGGGGGGTCCAGGGAGACCAGCTGGAGTGGAGGAGGCTGGGTGCTTTGGGGGAGGTGGGGTGAGCTGGAGCCCTGCCTGGCCCCGGGTGGCTCCCCACAGGCACCAGGCCTCTTGGTCGGAGTTAGCAATAATATAACGCGTACCAGTGACCGTTTCTGGAGCCCGGCCTGGCATTCGCATTTTCCCGGCTCACTTTCCTCTGCTGCTGCCTCTGAGCCTCCTGGTTTCGTGGGTGAGGAAACTTGAGGCCCACGGAAGTGACTCGCCCCGGGGCACCAGCTGCTCAGCAAGGGAGCAGGCCTGGTGGCCGTGTCACCCCATCGCAGGAGTGGCCCTCCGGCCTCTGTGGTTCCCCAGGGACCCGCACCTCCCTTCCGCACCCAGCTCAGCACAGCCGTGTCACTCAGGAGAGCCTGCGCCTTCGTCCCCTGGGGGCTGCCTGCCGGCCCCGGGCTTTTCCAGTTCATGCTCTGCCGACCCCACGGCACTCAGGCCAGCCACCCCTAATTAGCCAGTCAGCCAGTGCCGGGGGGGTGGGGCGGAGGGGGCTGAGCGCAGCAGCCGGCTTGCAGGTCGGTGTCCCCCAGCATCCAGGCCCGCTGGGCAACCATCCCACCGCTTCTGTAGCGGCCTGTGGCGCTCTCACCTCAGGACTGGGGGAGCAGAGCCAAGGCCAGAGGGGAAATCGCCCCTCAGGCAGTGCCGGGCAGTGCAGGTCCCCTCCCCTCATTAGAAATGAGGGTAGTGGATGGGTAAGTAAGTGATAGAGAGTGCATTTTTCAGGATTCTACCACCCAGTCAAGGTGGGAAAGTTAGTGCTTGGCTCCCAGAGATCTGAAACCTGGGTCTGAATCCTGACTCTGTTTCTATTGCTGTGCAACCTTGGGCAAGTTACCCAACCTCTCTGAACCTCTGACTCTATGCAAACAGTGGTAAATCACAACGCCTCTCCCCTGGGGCATCGAAAGCACTTGGCCTGTTCCTAGCACAGGGCAAAGCCTCAATCATGGAGCCAGGGGTCCTGCCCTCCCTCCTCAAGCCGGCTAAGATTATTTGGGGAGGAAGGGGCCAAGGTTCCCTCAGGACCCCTCTCATCAGGCAGGAAAGGCTGGGCTGCGTGTGAGTCGAGGGGGAGACAACATTCCCCCTGAGAAGTGTAGGGCCAGGCAGAGGGACCCAGGGTCTGGCCACTGTGGCCCTGCTTTCCCAGGCAGCTCCGCTGCAGGGTGCGGGCCAGGGGAGCCTGTTGTCCTCCCATTGCCACCAGTAGATCCCAGGAATGAGGGGGAAGCCGCTAGGGGCCCGGGGGCACTACTCTCCACGGTGGAGGAACGCTGTACCCCGGGCAGCCCCGGGCCCCTTGGAAGGTGCTGGGGAGACAGAGCTTCAGGGAACCGGTGCCCCCTCCCCCTCTCCAGAAAAAGCCCGAGACCTGCTGAGGGGAGGGTTTGAAGGCAGATGGCGGAGCCATTTTCTGCCTCCATGAGGGCTGATTGAAGGGCAATGAGGCAGCTAATGCGAAGAAAGATAGAAATTTACTTGCTTTAACTTCATACGGCCCACAGTGAAAGAGTGCATTCAGTTGCCGGCCCGCCATATCTGATGGATGAATAAACCATTTGCAGCATCGATCATGCCTGTACATCATGGTTTAGTTCATGGGCCATTTGCTTTCAATTTCTCCTTCTCGGCCCTGTTTCATGCTTTCTTTCGCCCTCTCCCCATCCCCCCTCCCCCTCTCTCTCTCTCTCTTTTTTTTCTTCACTCTCTTCCCTCCCCCAACACCCCCCCACCCCGCAAGATGACATTGGAAGTGAGCCCTCCCGCTGGGATGGATAAATAGATGTTACTGATACTCAGCAACAAACTATTTGTCATTTGAACTGGGCTTTTAGGAGGGAGAGTAAAAAGAAGGCAGGCGTGAGCCACCTTGGAATGCAAAGCAAATGTCACTTTATTTCTATTTAGTTATTTTATTTAATCGGTGCTGTCAGGGTGTCAGAAGCCTCCTCCTTCCCACTGCAGAGCTGGGATGCTAGTCCCTCGAGGGCTTCCCACCTCCTCTCTCCTTCCAATGCAGACATTCTCATCCTGTTTGTGGCTCCGTTAAGTGTTTGGTAACTGATGGGCCTTCAGGCACAGAACAGGTGGAGGTGGGAGGGAGGCGGCCTCAGGTGGAGGCGCCCGGGCTCTCAGCGTTGGTACCTGCTTTGAGTTCAGGCTGGGCTGGACAGCCAGTGAGGAGCCCCGGGCAGGTGGGAAAGGAGCTCTGGAGTCCTGTTGGTCACCCAGAGGTCCCAAGCCCTGTTTCACTTTGCCTTATGGCCAAGGATGGCCCTCGGGCCTGTCTGTTGCCAACGAATGTGAAGGTTGGCAGGACCCAGTAGGGCCTGGGGAGCCGGGCATTTCTCTGAAACCAGCCTGATGCCCGAGCTGTCTCTGGCCACATCCCTGGTGCTGCTTCTTGGCAGAGCGGCTGGGAAACAGCATGGGGTGATGGAAAGAGCACAGGATAGGGATTCTAGGGTCCTCGGGGCTGAGTCCCATGCCGATGGGGTGGGGTGGTATGATTTGGACAAGCGGCTTCTTTGGCTTTAGTTTTCCAACTGGGCCATGGAGGCATCAGGCTGGAGGTCCTTAAGGACCCTCCTCCTCCTTGGGTCTGTCTTGGAGGTCCGTTCTGGGTTCTTGTTCCTGCCCCACAAATGGAAACAGATGAAGGGATGCAGCTGGCCTCAAGCCACACAGCCCTTTGGAGGTGTGAGGGCTTCATCACCAGCCCCATCTGAGCTCAGGAGTTAAGCTAGAAGGATCACCTGTCCCTGTTCGCCCAGGACTGGGGGGTTTCTCAGGGTATGGGAACCGGGATGGTTGGTCACACCCTGACATAGAACCAGCAAGCAAAGTGACCGCAGATGAGGGATCTGAGGAACTCCTGGCGGCCCCACCTCTCCTGGAGCAGCTCTTCTCGGAGGGTGGCATCACCAGGAGGCTGTTCCAGCAGTCCTGTCACCTGCAGGGCAGGTTACAGCTTGCACCAGGCCCTCTCTGGCATCTTCTTGGGTGATTTTCATGTCCAGTAAAAAAAATATAAAAATTGTCTATACATTTAAATTGTAAGGCAGTCAAAGGCAGGTACCATTTCCCCCCATTTTACAGATGAGAAAACCGAGGCTCGAACTGGTGAAGCAACTTGCCCAAGACCCCATAGCCTGAGGTCTCGACTCCTGGCTTTGCGGGTATTTTCCACCACTCTGAAATCCAGCACATCATTGTTGAGGGCCTCGTGGGCTTCCTGCCCTGGGCCATGTGGCCCCCACCTCCACACAGCACACAGGGTTGCGCCTACAGTCCCCCTCCGCCTCTAGTTCTTCCTCCATAGGTGGGGTAACAGTACTTGACCTTCTTACCAAACGGGGCTGCAGAGAACACAAAGGAAGCTGCAGTTGCAAAGTGGCATGGGAATGTTTGCAGGATTTTGAAAGGCAAGATTTAAGGGACTGCACTTCCCAGGATGTCCGCAGGTGGATAACAGTGCTGGGCCCTGGCATGCCCCCTGGGACGGACTTGAGCAGTCAGGCCCAAAGAGCCCTGGCCCCCACCGTGGCAAGTGTCCAAGCCACAGCCTGGGGGGTGGGGGTCGGGGGTGGGGGGCCAGTCAGGACCTCGGGAGTGGGAGGCAGGAGGGACTTGGAGAGTTCCAGGCAGCCAGCGGCCCCTCCACTGCTGCATCAAGACGAGGGAGAGGCCCATTTTCCAACACGCCCAAGAAAAAAATATACATAAAGGTTGATGTGTTTTCAAATGGGTTTTTGCTTTGCTCTTCTCTTTTCTCCCTGTGAGTATTAACCTCGGGGACCCCGGGGACGGCTCTGCTCGCCAGAGCACCTGCTGGGGTCATGCGCAGTCATTAGCTTTGCGGTCACTGCAGAATAAACCCCAATTCCCGGTGCCAGGGAGAGCGTGTGTGCGCCTGAGCCACTCCCGGGAAGCCCGCCTAGCTCCTCGCTCCCCCAAAGTCACGCTTTTCCTGCCTGACTGGCTCCTCCTGCTATATTCTACCTCCAGCTGTGGGGGCGTCAAAGAAAAAGATGAGATCAAGTTGAGGGGAAAAATTGTCTGATTTCTTGAGCCCTTTGTTTCCCAGGCCGCTGGCAAGCGGGGCTGGCTCCAGGTGGGGGGCTGGGAGGCCTGCTGGACTGGCCAGCCGATGGCAAGTGCCAGCAGTGCCCTGGTTCTGGAGAGGGGCGCAGGAGGCTGCATGCAGGGTGTCCAGGGACTGGCATGGCACGGTTTGGCTCTGGCACACCGCCCTCCAACCTCTTTCTGTCTTTTGTCAGAACCAAGCGCCTCCAGACCTCTACACAAAGACCCAGGACCCGGCCAAAGCCCCCAACAGCCCAGACATCCTTGAGATCGAGTTCAAGAAAGGTAGGTGCCCGCCTGTCAGGACCCCAAGGCGTGGACTCTTGGGGCCCTGGCTCTTTTCCCCGCTTTGCCTGGGAGCCTGGGAACGAGTCCTCTGCATCCCTCCTGTGTTCCTGGAAGCCAGGGTCCAGGCTGTGGCTTCCAATGTTCCCAACCGCCCCCTCCCCGGATGGCGTGATCTGTGGAAGCCTCCAGGCTTGGGGAGAAGCGCCCTCTGCTGGTGTCCATCAGTTCGTGGGCACCAGGTCTGGAGGGAGCATTCTAGCCCCTGAGCAACCACTTGCCGACTGCTTTGGCCCTTTGGGGAAGTCACTCCACTTTCCTGGCCTCAGTTTCCTCATCTGTAAACTGGGGATACAAGAGTATCCACTGCCTCGTGTTTTCATGGTATAGAATAAGATCTGGATGAGGTGGATCCATCGCAGGGCCCTGCACCACAGAGGTGCTCAGCCAGTTATGAGTCTTACAGAGCCAGCCTCGGGGGCCCCCCTGAGCCCATAGCTAGTCCTAAGTTAGCTGCTTGATGCGTCTCCCTACCCCCCAACCTGGGTTCAAACCTGCTGCCACTCTTGCTTATGTCCTGATCTCCTCATCTTGTCTGCTAGCATCAAGAAGTGTTTGCTGGCCTGAACTGAGTGCCTAGCCTTGAGCCTGGCACCAGGGACAACCCCCTTGCCCTGAAAGATGGAGGGAAAGCAAGGCATGCTGGGTAATGGAAGGAGCAGGACCAGGTTCAAGGTGAGGGCTCAGAGTGTCCAAGGAGAGGACTTTTCCAGGAGGGTGCAGAAATCGGAGAGGCAGAGATGGAGGAACCAAGAGGGGGCGTGAGGGCATCCCAAGCCCGGGCAGGGAGGCTGGCCCTTCTGTGCACAAGGCAGCTGCAGGGAGGGAGCAGAGGGACGGGGCTCTGCAGGGAGGCCTTTCCCAAGGTACCTCGGAGACGGAGGATGGGGAGGGGCAAGCAGGGGCCCCGATAGATCCCCTGCTCTCACCTGCCAGTGTGACCTTGACAACCAGCTTCACCTTTCTGGGCCTCAGGCTCACTCGCCTGTGAAATGGGCCACAGAAATGATGCTCGTAGGTGCCGAGCACGGGGTATGGAGTGAGGCGCTGGGAAAAAAGCCTGTTGATACTTTAATAAACTGCCTCCTCCCGGCCTTTCCCAAGAGCCTGACCAAGTCAATAGGCATTTTCATCGCTCCCCCCCGCACCCCGCCCCGCCACTATCAGTTCAAACCCTTGAATTTCATGCCCCCTGGGGACCAAAAGGCCCTTAGTCTAAGGCCCCTAAAGGTAGCTGGAGCACTAAGTCCATCTTAGGCCCACTCTCTCTGACCCAGGGCTGTGCTGGCGTGGGGCCTCTTTGGGCATCATCTCTGAGAAGATGGTGAGATGAACCCAGGCAGCACGCCCCACCCACCCCAGGTCCCCCGGAAAACTGGGAGGGCGGTGACGGTGGGCAGGAGACAGCATAGGGTCCTGAACACAGGCTCTGACCCCCTTTCCTCCAGGAATAGGGCAGCTCCGAGGGCTGAGCCCGAGAAGAAACGTGATCCATTTTAATGATCTGGGGACTGTCTGGAAAAAAAAGAAAAAAGTAGACGGGAGGAACCCTCCTCAGCTACTCCCCATTCACTCTCTAGTTAATTTATTTGAAGTTTTAATCTAATTATTAACTATTTTAAAGGCTAAGAGGCTTTCTCCGGCAGCAGCACCAACAATGTCCGTTCCTCTCTGGGGCAGGCCCCATCCAAGGCCCCGCGAGGGCCATAATAGGACCCGGAGGGAGAGAAAGGGAGAGGGGAGAGGCGGGGGGGTGGCGAGAGGGGCTTAAGGTTCATTATTGGGCAGACTTACATTTAATAGCAATTTACAACCAAGTTATAAAACCCCTGGAAATGGGGGTTAAGAATGGTGAGGCTGACAGCCCCTGAGCGAAGCCCCTCCAAGCGGCGCCTGGCTAATAAAGACTCGAAAGCCGCTATTGAGGCCTGATTGGCACCCGATGGCCGGCTACATGGTAATGAGCTGGGCAGATGGGTGGGGGATTAGCCGCCAACTTTGAACAGCTTTTCTTTGTCACTGTTACAGCTCTCTTGTTAGTCCTCTAATACATTTATTGCTCATTTCACACCGCTCGAGAAAGTGCCCCTTGCTATTCAAAGTCAACCCCGAACCCACACACTGCCCCCCTCCAGCCACCACCGCCCCCCCC